AATATATCCTTATCAATTCTTAATTGTGCCTCATAGCTTTTTCCTAGATGACTTCCCTGGAGATCCAGAGTGATGCTGCTCATGGCTGAGGTAGGGTCAGCCACCACAGCCTGCTGGGGATCCACAGCAGCTCCAGCTCTGCAGAAGTTAGGGATGAGTCCCATGCTTTTGATGCAGGCCACACTTTGCTTCTCTTGGCAGAGATCCTGCCTCCTTCTCTCAGCACAGTCAAGGGTCTCATGGGGATGGCAGAGCCCACAGTGTTTTGTTACCCAGCAAGTGAGACCCAGGTGTTTCATGGCATAGCTGTACAAGTCATTGATCTCCAAGCACACGTGCTGCTGGCACACAGCTGGGTTCTTCAGGTGCTTGATTGTTCTCTTTGAAATTCTTCCTTGTTTAATTCTTCTTTGCAGTTGCAAACCTCTTTGTGCAGGTCAGGTGGTCTATGAACAGAAACTTCATGTGAGTGCCCAATGTCCAGAGCGTGGTTTGATTTTTGTTTGTTTTAACAACTCATGGCTCTCTTCTCTCACCACAGGTACTTCCTCTACCAAAAAAACACCCTTGTGCCCTCAATGGAGAGGGCCTTGCTGCTGCCTCCAGGTGACCACTTGCACATGGGGATGGGTGATGTTTCCTGGAGCTTTAAACACGTACAGTAACAACCATTTCACCAGCCCACGAGGGGCTGGGCTGGTGTCTGGTTTCTTTCTTTCTTCCTGGCTTTCCCGTTGATTTTTTATTTTTCTATGTGCTTTTTTTCCCCCATTACCCCTCTGCAAAGAAAGCCCCTTTTTCCTGGATCTGTCAGAAAGTAGGTGCTACTGGGTTTGGTGCCTTTTCTGTTGGGGCTCAGAGCTGAATCACTGAAAATGGTTTAGGAACTGGGTTTATTTCTCTGGGCTTCAATGAATGTTGGTGAATGAAGAAAGCTCGTGTTAGGTCTGCTGAGATATGTGAAAGTCATGCTTTTGTTAGGCTGGCAGATTTGTGATGTCTATCTTATATAAAGCAAATAAAAGCAAAATGGAAATGAGTGTGCTGGTCAATGAGGATGGGACAAAAAAGTCATCAGTTCTAGGTTGTCACTGCTGTAGAGTGAGCATGCAGTGCATGTCCTCAGAGATGTGGTGGTGGATGTGCTGGGAGAACCTGTACAATTAAAGGATCATCCAGGAAGGGCTACTGCCTTCCTTTATAGGGATGCCTAATTTCTTTCTAGTCTCTGACAAATAGTAAATTTTATATGAATCAGTCCAGAGTACCAAACTGGCTCCCAGATATTCCTCTCCTCTGTTTAGAGGTGTCCTTGATCTTGACCCTCTTTGGTCACAGATTGAGCTGGTTTCCAGGTAAGGCCACCTTTCTTTTGCTAATGAATATATCCTTCAAAGGCAAGGCAAAAGCTTGTTGTCAGCTGGGAGATATAGCTGCAGGAGGGCTGTCACACATCATTTTTTTACTGACTTCTGTGATAAGGTGTTGTGTAGTACAAAGCTATTTCTATTTTGCATAGCAACAAAGAAGAAAAAGCTGCGGTGGCAATTATTTAATTAGGAACAACTCCAGAACACAAGTAGAACCTCCAGGAAAACAACTGTGATTTAAAATCAACACTAGTATAAATAATTTAGATTGGTTAATATAAGTTTAATACTGGCGACCAACTCTAAAACTGGGGGAGAAAGTGGGTTATCAGACTAATTAAGGAATCTCCTTGATTTTCTTATATTCTGGTTTGCCTGTTTGTCCTCTATACAGTATTTTAGAATAGGTTGTTATTTTTTGACTGAGGACCTAAGCCAAATCAATGAATACTAGCATTAATAACATGTTTTATTAGTAATTTAGTAAGTAATTTTTGTTGTGGTGTCACTGATATGATATAACTAAAGAACAAGAGAAAATACTCAGATAACCCATTACTTCTGCAGGACATCATATAAGAGAAGTCAGGAGACCAGATAGGTTGATTAAAAAGTAGAAGTCATTTATTTTTTTCTCCAAAACCTACATATAAGTTTTATTTTACTCACAGTTAAGGTTATAGGACTCTGCTGTTGAACTCCAACATAAGTTGCTTCTGTCTGAGGTTTATCTTTATATACTAGGGCCAGCCTAGTAATGTCAAATAATTAGTGGAAGACAGGAGTAAGGAGACAAGAGACAAAATCATGCAGAGATGACATAGAGTAACAAGGATTCACCTGTTTTTGAGCAGGGTTTAGCAGGAAGTGAATTTAGGATTCATTTTCTCTGCTTTCTTACATCCAGTTGACAGAGAAGGAATGGGAAATGAGAGGGAGCTGAGGCTCCAGAGCTGGAGAACATGCTGAGTTTTGGATATGTTTGATTTCTCAGTCATTTTGTGGAAAGCTCTCAGGGACTTTCATGGGGTAAGAACCTCTTCAGTTTCTCAGTGTTGGTCACAGATTGCCTGGGTGTCTCACAGTGGCTGGAGTTCCTCTGGGGACACGGGAGTCACGCTGCCATGGTCAGTGAACACAAAAGGAGCACCAAAATGATTGTGCTCTGAGAGGCCCATTGTTCTGTGGACAGAAGGACAAGGACATCCCATTGCCAAGCAGTGATGCATTCCTGAGGATGAGCAGGTGCTGTTGGACCCCTCTGAGGGGTCAGTGATGGTAACTGAGGGGTGACACCAGACTGGCTTTGCCACAGCACTGCTGACTCTTCCTGTTCTTAACCCTTGAAGGATTGCATTAAATTTTTCCAGTCCACTTCCAT